CAGGGGGCGGTGGATATTTGTGGCGGTCAATGTGGATATTGTGGATGAGTTCTTCTGTGTCATCACGTTCTATTAGTTCTACAGCTTCAGTTTCGGAACTTTCACGCTTAGTAACACATACAGCTGTTCCCTCACCACAGTGCAACAGTGAAAAGGGACCCCTTTCAAACAGTGTCGCGTTCCGAACCTTGTTTAAGCGACATACACCAGTATTGCGGTATTTAAAAAATTCATATCATAACAAAAATAAACACCGGTATTCGGTATGAACTGGTATACCGCCCAGCACTAATAGATAGATAGACAGTCAGACCTGTAGGAAGCGGATGAGGTAGCAGAGCACCAGTTTGTTGATGTGAGGGAGGTTGAGGACGACGCTGACAGCAGCCACAGGACTGTCATAGTTCAAGATACACTGCTCATAAAACTCATGAGGAATCACCGGCTCCTCCAGCTCTCTGTACCAGAGCTTCAGCAGCGACGCTAGACAGACACAGAGAGAGAGAAACAGAGATGCCTGAGGTCAGAGGTCACAGGACAAAAGGGCGCATCATTTAGTAGGGACACTATGACATGTCCCTACCAAAATCCAGAGACTACTAAATTGTCCCTGGCAATAATTTTGATCAAACAATTAAATATATGTGTATGTAACCACTTTTGTTGTAATTTTGGCAGGCTCTGAAATGCGTCACACCATTGATATTACCTGAGAAGTCTAGAAAACATTTAATAGATGTGCGGAGTAAGAACATATAAGGGAACAGAAGTGTTTCAAACATTCGAGCACAGTTCAGCTGAATGATAAAGTTTACCCTCTTTAACTTTACGTTGTTCTGCTGTTTTGTGTTCAACTGCTTCTCCCATTTGCTCTTTTTACATTGACTATCCCTCTATATAGACTCATACAATCAGATACAACAATCATTTCTCAAATATTTATTACAATATATACTGATAAATTCAACATTCACTTCAATGGTCTGAGAGACTGGATGCTTTCAGCTGATTTCCCATTGAACTGTCAGCAACTGCATGAACTGCAGCTCAAACTATTTCAAAAATAGTGAATTAAGCTAGAAACTCCATCATAATGTTTCCATCTGGGAGGTTGAGGACGACGCTGACAGCAGCCACAGGACTGTCATAGTTCAAGATACACTGCTCATAAAACTCATGAGGAATCACCGGCTCCTCCAGCTCTCTGTACCAGAGCTTCAGCAGCGACGCTAGACAGACACAGAGAGAGAGAAACAGAGATGCCTGAGGTCAGAGGTCACAGGACAAAAGGGCGCATCATTTAGTAGGGACACTATGACATGTCCCTACCAAAATCCAGAGACTACTAAATTGTCCCTGGCAATAATTTTGATCAAACAATTAAATATATGTGTATGTAACCACTTTTGTTGTAATTTTGGCAGGCTCTGAAATGCGTCACACCATTGATATTACCTGAGAAGTCTAGAAAACATTTAATAGATGTGCGGAGTAAGAACATATAAGGGAACAGAAGTGTTTCAAACATTCGAGCACAGTTCAGCTGAATGATAAAGTTTACCCTCTTTAACTTTACGTTGTTCTGCTGTTTTGTGTTCAACTGCTTCTCCCATTTGCTCTTTTTACATTGACTATCACTCTATATAGACTCATACAATCAGATACAACAATCATTTCTCAAATGTATATTACAATATACACTGATAAATTCAACATTCACTTCAATGGTCTGAGAGACTGGATGCTTTCAGCTGATTTCCTGTTGAACTTTCAGCAACTGAACTGCAGCTCAAACTATTTCAAATATAGTCAATTAAGCTACAAACTCCATCATAATGCACAATGTTTCCATCGAAAATGTATTTTGAGCTGCAGCTCGTCATATTAATGGAGTGATTCACTAGTTAGCAGTAAACCGGTTACCTCACCGGAATATGTTCTAGATTTGTGTTGAAATGTTGAAATCTTTGGAATGGAAATATGGATATTTTATTTGTAAACATCATACTTTTTTCGCTTATTTCAGTTTTTTCAGCTTAAGAGGACACATAGGATGAATACAGAGATGCTTTAGATTACTTTAGGATTTACAGAACTTCAGATAGTTTCCATGTACTCGTCTAGATCAACTCTGAATAAAGAAAAGAGACGTTTAGAGCTAGATTTTTGTTTATTTATGTGAAATTTAGCTAGCAGGACACACAAATGAATTAAGTTATATTTTCCTATATTCTCTTTCGAGTAGTCAAACAATCCACAGAAAACATGTTTAAAACAGAAAGAAAAGTCACTTACAAAATGTCTCTGTGTACAAAACAAGTGAATGAATCTTCCTCAGAAGAGACAAAAACAGCAGCTCACTTCAGTGTCTGACTTATATTACAATCACTTCCATAAGCTTTTGCTGAAATTTGGATGAACTCATGAATCTGTTGCTTGACCTCTTCATATTTAAGAAGAGAACTGCAGTTTCCAAAGTCTGACATCGCTTGTTATGATTTTCAAGGGTGTAGAGTTTAGTAGAGATGCTATGACATGTTCCTACCAATATCAGCCACTGCTAAATAATTGTAATCAAACAATTAAATGTCTGTTGTCTGCCATTATGTCCATGCCACAATCAAACCTACACCCTTGACAGGACCTCAACTTCAACCACTGTCCGCATGATGCCGTCTGCTCACACAGTGACAAGAAAATCACAAGCTCTGATTGGCTGCTGTTCACTAATCATCTAGATGCTCAATCAAACCACTCGGAGACATACAGGCTGTTTTCATTAGCAAAGACTTGACTGTTTATTTGACGTGCTGTTGCTGTAGTTTTCGCACCCAATTCATTCAACAATTACACATATCAGGTTATCGTTCAATTTTTCAGCAAATACACTCGACTGCATTGTGCATCTGAATTGTGTTTAACACCAGCTTTCCCTGAGCAGCAATAACGCAAATCACTGCAACTACAGTAATACAAACGTAAATGGATCCGTGAATCCAGCACATTCTATAAAGAGCCTCATTTGTACAAAAGGAAGCGCATTTGCCTAGAAAAGAATGACAATGGATTGATTTAAATACGCATGCAGTGCTATAAGTAAGCTTAGTCATTCGCAAGATTTTGTTGGTAAGATTTCTAATGTTTTTGAAAGAGGTCTCTTCTGCTCACCAAGGCTGCATTTATTTGATGAAAAATACAGTAAAAATTGTCAAATATAATTAGAATTTAAAATAACTGTTTTCCATGTGAATATACACTACCAGTCAAAAGTTTTCGAACAGTAAGATTTTTAATGTTCTTTAAAGAATTCTCTTCTGCTCACCAAGCCTGCATTTATTTGATCAGAAATACAGCAAAAGCACATGTCACATGATCTTCAGAAATCATTCTAATATGCTGATTTGTTGCTCAAGAAACATTTGTTGTTATTAATATTATTAATATTTAAAACAGTTTAGTACATTTTTTCAGGAGTCTTTGATGAATAGAATGATCAGCATTTATCTGAAATTAAAAGCTTTTGTAACGTTATACACTATACCATTCAAAAGCTTGGAGACAGTATACATTTTTTTTGGGGGGGGATTATAGAAATTAATACTTTTATTTAGCAAGGATGCTTTAAATTGATCAACAGTGATGATAAAGACATTTATAATGTTACAACAGATTTCTATTTCAGATAAATGCTGTTCTTCTGAACTTTCTATTCATCAAAGAAACCTGAAAAAATTATACTCGGCTGTTTTCAACATAATAATAATAATAAAAAATGTTTCTTGAGCAGCAAATCAGCATATTAGAGTGATTTCTGAAGATCATGTGACACTGAAGACTGGAGTAATGATGCTGAAAATACAGCTTTGATCACAGAAATAAATTACATTTTAAAATATATTAAAATAGAAAGCAGTTATTTTAAATAGTAAAAATATTTCACAATATTACTGCTTTTGCTGTATTTCTGATCAAATAAATGCATGCTTGCTGAGCAGAAGAGAATTCTTTACAAAAACATTAAAAATCTTACTGTTCAAAAACTTTTGACTGGTAGTGTATATTAAAATGTAATTTATGTCTGAGATCAAAGCTGTATTTTCAGCATCATTACTGCAGTCTTCAGTGTCACATGATCTTCAGAAATCATAATAGAAATAGAAATCTTTAGTAACATTATAAATGTCTTTACTGTCACTTTTAATCAATTTAATGTGTACTCAATGAATAAAAGTATTAATTTCTTCAATTTACTGAGCCTTATATATATTTTTTCATGACAATTTAAGCACATTTCATCCCCCCAAAAATTTGAATCTAGTGAAAATCATTATTGAGAATTATGGGAACTTGTCTAAATGCATTACAGCAATGAGAATTGTGGGATTGAATGTGCTTATTTGAATTAAATTCAAACACCTAATGGTCCTAAAATAGGTTTGCTGTTGTTAAGGCAAATTTCAGATTTACATGCCCACAAATGTCAAGTAATGAAACCAAAGTCTAGTTTGGTGTTTCAGATGGTCAGTTCTTAGCCAGAATAAACTGCAACTTCATTTTCATAGTCTGCTGATTGCATCTGTGAAATAATGGTTCTGTGAACTTGCAGTGCTGCAGTTCAGTAGATCAGTATGATCAGTGAAATCCTGGTCTTCTTAAACCAGTTTAACCGCAGTGTGTCAGCGGCTAATGGCTTCATTATTTCTCATGCTACTAGATTTCCAGAAACGGGTCCGAGGGGAGACACTTGGGTGAATGAATAAAAGCAGTTTTGTAAAAGATAGGCGCCCGCTTCTGGGAACTGCAACAACCTGGCAAATCACAAATCTAATGAGGATCGGCCAGAGACACACAGACGAGTCCGAACGTCTGAGACACCAGAGAACATGCAATTTATTTATTACACATACAAACAGTGCACATCTGAATGATTTCTTATTCATCGGAGATTTAAGAGAGTCTTCAAACGCATTATGTCTGTGGTCTCGTACGTTTAGATCCTGCTGTAATGCTGTAGAAGAAAGCACGGAAGAGAGATTTTGTTGAGGAAAAGGCTCGTAAGAGCTGGTGATCCTCCCGCTGGGTGTGGGAAGTTTGAGCTATTTATATTCAGAGAGAAATGGAGCATTGCAGAACGCCCAAGGCTACAGGTGTGTGTGTGTGTGTGTGTGACAGCATTACACTGCTGGACACTCTCGTTTTAGTACTATTTATGCACTATTATAGTTTCATTCATATTTTGAATTATACTTTGTTTTAATTTTAATTGTAGTTACATTTTTAGGTATTTTGTTCATTTGAAATTTGTATTAGTTTTTGTTTTTCTAAATATTACTGTTAGGGTTTATTTTTATTTCAGTTTTAGTTTTCGATTCAATTTATTTTATTTTAGAATTTTTAAAATACTTTAGACATTTATTTGAGAATTTTAGATACTATGCTGCCTTGGCAACTAACTGAAATAAGTTTTTCGTCTATTTTTTAAAAATGTATTTCAACTTAATTTCAAATGTTTAATCATTTTAGTTTTATTATAACGATAATAACCCTAGAGCTGGACTAATCCCAGCTACTATAACTACAGTCGAAAAATTATTAAGTCATGAAATACTGTGAAAACACTTTTATTCTACGTGCTTGACACGACATGTGCCTTTTAACATAATAAATATGTTTGGTCATATTTCACCACAAAATTAAAAGCTAGAAATAAGAAATAATATTTTGCATAAAGAAAACCTATTTTTAGAAAAGTTGCTGAAATAAGTTTAAGCGTGTCATCTAATATTTTTATAACTTCATTTCAATTAGCAAAAATGTTTAATAATTGTAGTTTTATTTAACAATAATAATCCTGGAGCTGGACTAATCCAAGCTACAATAACTACAGTCAAAATATTATTGTTTAAGTAATAATAAGTTTTATTATACATGCTTGACAATGAAAAATTTTTTTTTTTTACATAATAAATACGTTTGGTCATATTTCACCAAAAATCAGAAGCTAGAAATAAGAAATAATATTTTGCAAAAAGAAAACCTATTTTAGGACCTATTTTAGAAACTAAATGAAAAAGGTGAATAAATGAATTTTATTCATTGAACCAAATTGCTACTCTAAGTCATAAAAATTCTACATCTCAAATTCTACATGCTTGACATGACGTGTTTTTTTTTTTAATTAAAATATGCATTCATTTTTATTTGAGCAATGATTTAAAGAACACTTTTAAATGTTTCACTGATGTAACAAAATAATTTAGTGAAATGTTTTGAAACATTTTGCTCTTGCTTGTTCAACAAACACATTTTTTCCACCACCGTCTGACTGCAAAAACAGCTACAAGTATAAACGTTATCAATAATGCATCATGAACAACCGCTCAAAACAACCAGCAAAAATAATCTGCCGTTCAGCCGTCAGATTCCTAGAAATATGACTGCCATCTTCTTCACTTATATAGATTATTGGAGTGCGTTTTACAAGAAAATACTATTTCATTCTTTCTTATTCAATGTGTTACTTGCCCTTTTTTGTGTAATTATTTGTGAAATTAAACCCTGCACCAATGTTTCAGTCTAATAAACCAGAATAGATTTAGTGCATCATACATTATAGCATTATATGTATGTGCTTACAGTATGCCAAAGGTGCTCGGAGGGTATACTATTTGTAATGGATTTTTGAAACCATGTAACCATGTTAACTATTTGGGCACATGTTTACATCAGACTAAAGGATTGTGGGATACCTGGAATATGTGGGTCCTCCAGGCCGGTTGGTACCTTCCAGTTGTCCACATGTAGTTTCAGAGCATTTACTTCATCAATGTCTCCAGGCACCCTGAGACACGCAAACACAAGATCCACTTCAGGATAAGACAATGAACACTGAATAAACACAGCTTTCTGTAAAATAGACAGAGTACATTGTTTAATATATCATTTTATCTAAAAACAATTTATTCCATATTTATTCAGTTTTCATCTGAATAGCGCTCAGGTTTCTATTATTTTATATATATATATATATCGTAAATCTTTAAATTTAGATTTTTCAAAATATATATATGGGTCAAAGACGAAAAAAGGTTTAAGCATAAAAGCAATACTGCTTTAAATTGTTGTTGTTTTTCCAAAAAAAATAAAATTAAAACGTTTTCCGTTTCATGTAATTGTATTTTTGTTTTTGTTTTTCTGAGCAAAAAAGAAATATCATACATTTTCCCCTGATTTACAGAAGAGACCCACTAAAATGTCATTCAGTGTAACAATCTTGTCAGGCA